TGGTGGTGTGGTTTGCTTTTTCTTTCCTGTCCAACACCTATTGTCCTTATCTCTCCTCCTTTTTTTTTTTGTGTTTGCTACTCTCTTGTAACACCTTTAATCTTCAAAACTTTCATGACCTTATTTATTGTTCTCTTGCACAGTGGGTGGTTGGCGGGTGCTCTGGTGTGGTTTGCTTCTTCTTATCAAAGATCTATCTTCCTTATCTCCCCTTATTCTTTTTTATGTTTGTTACTTTCTTGTAACACCTCTAATCTTCTGGCGCTCATATGACCTTATGCAGTTGTGAGCACCGTAAATCCTCTACTAAAACTAAACTATAAAGTCTTATCTTCTGGCGCTCATTTGACCTTATTGTGTTGCAAGTGCTGTAAAAATCTTACTAAAACTAAAACACCTCTAATCTTTGACACTTACATGACCTTATTTATTGTTCTTTTGCACATGCCATAAAAAAACTCTGACCAAACAAACAAACAAACAAACATACATGATGACTGAAATGCTCCTGTGTCCCCGCCAGGTTGTACCAGAAGAAGCTCACAGTGGTCCTCACCCTGGTTCTGCTCACCATCGCCTACGTGCTTTATCACACGGAGGGCCCGCATCAGAAGGTACGTCGTGTTCGTCCTGGGTGGTGGGCGGGTGCTCTGCTGTGATTTGCTCCTTCTTTCCTATCAAACATACCTCTATCGTCCTTATCTCTCCTCCTTTTTTTTTGTGTATGTTACTCTCTTGTAACACCTGTATTCTTCGGGTGGGTGGTTGGTGTGGTTTGCTCCTTCTTTCGTATAATCAAACATCTGTCGTTCTTATCTCTTTTTTTTTCTGTGTATGTTGCTCTCTTGTAACACCTCTTAAATGACCTATTGTGTTGCAAGGGCCGTAAAACTCTTACTGTGGGTGGTTGGCGGGTGCTCTGGTGTGGTTTGCTTCTTATTTCCTATGAAACATCTATCGTCCTTATCTCCCCCTCTCCTTTCTTATGTTTGTTACTCTCTTGTAACGCCTCTAATCTTCTGCCGCTCATATGACCTTATGCAGTTGCGAGCGCCGTAAAACCTCTACTAAAACTGAAACTGTGTGTATGTGTGGGTGGGTGCGTGTTTGCACGCGTATGTAATATGATGTGCCTATAAAATTGATTTGTAATTCCATAATATGTTTCATGTTAAGCGCATAGAGCATTGCATAAGTGGATATGCGCTATATAAAAAATGCAATCAATTATTACCATTATTATTATTATTATCATTATTATTATTAATTAATTATTATTATTATCATTATATAGGTGGGTGGTTGGCGGGTGCTCTAGTGTGCTCCTTCTTTCCTATCAAACATCTATCGTCCTTATCTCCCCTCCTTCTTCTTTTTTGTGTTTGTTACTCTCTTGTAACACCTCTAATCTTCTGGCGCTCATATGACCTTATGCAGTTGTGAGCGCCGTAAAACCTCTACTAAAACAAACTATTATTATTATTTATTATTATTATTAATATATTTTTATTTATTATTATTATTATCATAATTATTATTATATCATCATTATAATCATTTTTATTATTATCATTATTATTATTATTTTTATTATTATTATAATTAGAGCGCCATGTAAATGCAATCTATTATTATCATTAACATCATTATTATTATTATTATTAATATTATTATTATTATTATTATTATTATTATTATTATTCTTTGTGCAGCTGTTTCAGTCTGTGGAGAAGAAGTTCCTGTGGAGTGCCTACTGGGTGGGTCTGGGCATCCTGTCTTCTGTCGGTCTGGGGACCGGTCTGCACACCTTTATCCTTTACTTGGTGAGTTTGTGTGTGTGTGTGTGTGTCTGTGTGTGTGTGTGTGTGTCTGTGTGTGTGTGTGTCTGTGTCTCTGTGTGTTTGTGTGTGTGTGTGTGTTTGTGTCTGTCTGTCTGTCTGTGTGTGTGTGTGTGTGTGTGTCTCTGTATGTGTGTGTCTGTCTGTCTGTGTGTGTGTCTGTCTGTCTGTGTGTGTGTGTGTGTGTGTGTGTGTGTGTGTGTGTCCTCCATGGATCTGGGAACCGGCCTGCACACCTTTACCCTCTACTTGGTGAGTTATCGTCTCGCTGTGGGTGTTTGGCAGGTGCTCTGGTGTGGTTTGCTCCTTCTTTTCCTATAAAAAAATCTATCGTCTCTATCTCCCCTCCTTCGTTTTTGTTTGTTACTATCTTGTAACACTTCTGCCGTAAAACTCGTACTAAAACTAAAGAACTCAATGCTAACTTCATGGTTCTGTGCGTGCTGTGATTGCTAAGAAATTAGCAGTGGGTGGTTGACGGGTGCTCTGGTGTGGTTTGCTCCTCCTTTCCTATCGAACATCTATAATCCTTTTCTCCCCTCCTTTTTTATGTTTGTTACTCTCTTGTAACACCTCTAATCTTCTGGCACTCATATGACCTTATGCAGTTGCGAGCGCCGTAAAACCTCTACTAAAACTAAAAAGACTTTTCAAGTTGGGCAGTAAATTCTCTGTGTGTCTCTTTCTACTTGGCTTTGTCTCCCCCAACTGTTGCCAGGAAAGCGACACCTTGCCGACAAAATGGCAATAGGTCAATTGCAGTTGGTCGTCACCTCGTACGATAGAGCACTAAACATGGTCGTGGATGGTTGGCGGGTGCTCTGGTGTGGTGTGCTCCTTCTTTCCTATCAAACATCTATCGTCCTTTTCTCCCCTCCTTCTTTTTTATTTTTTTGTTACTCTCTTGTATCACCTCTAATCTTCAGCACTCATATGACCTTATTGTGTTGCAAGTGCCGTAAAACTCTTACTAAAACTAAAAGAGCACTAAGCATGGTCACATGACACACACTCTGTAGCTCGGGACACAGGTCTCTTGGTGGATTAGTGAGTCAGTATTGATTGTGGCAGGTGTGATTCTGGGTAATGAGTTTTGTCACCCTTGTTGGGATGGATGACTGGGTGGTTGGTGGGTGCTCTGGTGTGGTTTGCTGCTTTTTCATTCCTATCAAATACCTCTCGTCTTTTTATCTTCTCTCCTTTTTGTGTGTTTGTTACTCTCTTGCAACACCTCTAATTTTCTGGCGCTCACATGACCTTATGCAGTTGCAAGCATCGTAAGACCTCTACTAAAACTATTAAAAAAACCTCTCGATGGATGAGGGAGTGAGTATTGATTTTGGGAGGTGTGGTTCCAGGTAATGAGTTTTGTGGCCCTTGTTGGGATGGATGAGTGGGTGGTTGGCGGGTGTTCGGGTGTGACTTGCTTCTTCTTTCCTATCAAATATCTATCGTCTTATCTCCCCTCCTTTTTTTGTGTTTGTTACTCTCTTTTGACACCTCTAATTTTCTGGTGCTCATATGACCTTATGCAGTTGCAAGCACCGTAAGACCTCCAGGTAATGAGTTTTGTCGCCCTTGTTGGGATGGGTGTCTGTTTGTTATTTTTATAGTGCTTCTGTAAAACAATATTGTTGGTATAATGGAAGGAGATTTCTGTGTTGTGTATCTGTCTTGTTGTTTTGTTGTGTTCTGTCAAGAGTCATGATCCCATTTAGGGGGTGGTTGGTGGGTGCTCTGGTGTGGTTTGCTCCTTCTTTCTTATCAAACATCTGTCGTCCTTAGCTCTCCTCTTTCTTTTTTGTGTTTTTTACTCTCTTGTAACACGTCTAATCTTCGGCACTTATATGACGGTATTGTGTTGCAAGTGCGTAAAATACTTACTAAAACTGTCAAAAAAGAGTACAGTCATTCCGTAAGTCATAAATGGTTCAACTCTTTGTCCTCCCCAGGGACCACACATTGCCGCAGTAACGTTGGCAGCGTACGAGTGCAACTCTGTGAACTTTCCTGAACCGCCATATCCTAATGAGTAAGTATTTACGTCTACTCCTCAATCTACGTGTGTGAGTGGGTGGTTGTCGGGTGCTCTTGTGGGGTTTGCTCCTTCTTTCCTATCAAACATCTATTGTCCTTATCTCCCCTCCTTCTTTTTTATGTTTGTTACTCTCTTGTGACACTTCTAATCTTCTGGCGCTCATATGACCTCTTGCAGTTGCGAGGGCTGTAAAACCTCTACTAAAACTAAACAAAAATCTACATGTTCTATTTATAATGAGCCAAGGCCTAAGACTCGTTAATAGCCTGAACACCTGGGCAACCAACAGCATAATTAACAACTCTTTCATTAGGGCTGAGAGAGAGAGAGAAAGAGGGGGAGGGAAGGGAGAGACAGAGAGAGAAACAGAGAGAGAGAGAAGGAGAGAGAGAGAAGGAAAGAGAGAGAGACAGGGAGAGAGAGAGAGAGAGACGAAATCATGAAATATGAACTCCAAACTGGTCAACCTTTATGAGGCGTGGACAGGTGACACTTGTGTCCTATACTTTTTTTTTACCCTGCTTCCGTTTCATCCAAATCTGTCTTGCTCTTTCCCCATTCTACACAATAATTTTGGCGTGCCAAGGCAGACGGACGTATGTGCAAAAATTATTAATTTTTGTATCTTCGTTTAAATGGACGCCTATACCCATTCTGCATCTTGTGTCAAAGGCAGGAAGACGTATCTGCACTACAAATAGGAGATTTCACTATGGCAAACAGACGTATCTGCTCTACAAATAGGATATTTCACTATGACAAACAGACGTAACTGAAGGGCCATGCCCATATTTCCAATGGCAGCGCGACGTAACTGAAAATCATTAAAAAATGCAGATACGTTGCTCTGCCTTGGCGTGGCAGACTTTTTATTGCGTTGGTGTGATTCTCTCAATTCAAGACTGAGCAACCCTTTCTAGAGAGAAGCTCTGGAGGTAGTTGTAGTGAAAGATTTCTGGTTTCTCCCACAGAATTAAGTGCCCGGATGAGCGAGATACAGAGGGGATGTCTCTGTGGACCATCATGAGCAAAGTCCGACTGGAGGCCATCATGTGGGTGAGTCCACCGTTTGCTGCCGCTCGCTATTCTCAGGGGTTGTTACGGAACACTGGTTAAGCAAATGTTCCGACGAATAACTTCATGAAATAAATACGAACTCCCACCTTTTCAACTGAACACACTTTTGTTCACAAACATGTGTATGTAGATTCTCCTTACTGTGACTAGACTCCCATTCTTCTGTTTTATATTTGTTACTCTCTTGTAACTCCTCTAATCTTCTGGCGCTCATATGACCTTATGCAGTTTCGAGCACTGTAAAACCTCTACTAAAAGTAAAAACATCATTTCTGGTTGATGTTTGCTCGTATGTGGTTTGCTCCTTCTTTCCCAACAGACATCTATCGTCTTTATCTCCCCTCCTTCTTTTATCTGTTTGTTACTCTCTTGTTACACCTCTAATCTTCGACGCTTATAGTTATGACCTTATTGTGTTGCAAGTGCCGTAAAACTCTTACTACAACTAAAAGCCGGATTCCCTGTATTGACTTCTCTGTTGACATCCACCCCATGGCGCTCATATGACCTTATGCAGTTGCGAGCGCCGTAAAACCCTCTACTATTAAAGAAACCAAAAAACCTCTACTAAAACTAAAACATGTACTAAAACGAAACAAAATGTCACAGGGAGCTGGCACCGCCATCGGGGAGCTGCCGCCTTACTTCATGGCCAGGGCGGCTCGTCTCTCCGGCGTCGACCTTGAGGACGACGAGTTTGAGGAGATAGAGGAACTGATCCACGAGAAGAAAAGACATCCGGAGGAAATGGTGAGTGAGAGATGGGAGGAGGAGGAGGGGTGGGGGGTTCATATATCTGAATGTTTGTCTCTGCACCACCCGTGTCTCCGTCTCCCCCCCCCCCCCCACCCTCCTCTGAGGTGGTGGGAGACTGTTGTGTGTTTTGCCCTGCCCGACTCACAGTGTGTTTGTTTGTTTGTTTGTGTGTGTGTGAACCTCGGTGCTTGTTGCCCGTGATAGGAGATTCACTTCTGCTCCTGAACTTGTGATAGATTTATGTCATGAGGCGATGGAATCAGGCTCTCGTCAATTTTGGGGCATGTAGAGTTATTGGTATCATCTTAAAGGTCGTTCATTTGTCTTGCTTTGGGCGAAAAAAATATCCATTTATCTTGAACAGTAGTAGAGGTATTTGCGAATGAAGGAGGTGGGGGGTCACCTGGTTTCAGAGGTAACCTTAGTGAGAAAATGACCGCAAAAGTTTAGAAGTTTCAATAGATCAAGAGTCCTTGAAAACTGGACATTTATATTTTCAGCAAAATTCACACAAAAATGTTCTTGAATGGACATAAAAGGTGTTGAGCCAATAAACAAAAGATCAGTAAAAATTGCCAAACCCGCGGAAAAATGCGCGTTTGTTCACTTTGATGATTTTGACGAGTGCCTGATTTCACCACGTCATGACACATGTATGTGAGGCAGCGTGGTGGAATCAGGCTCTCGTCAAAATAATGCAATCGAAGAAAACAGCAGTTTTCTCCCTGCTTAGCAATTTTTATCAAATTTTTTGTTTTTTGGCTCAACACCTTTTATGTCCATTTACAAACACATTCCTTTGAGGATTTCACCGAAAATGTTGATTTAAGGCACAAAAATATAAATTTACAGTTTCCATGGACTCTCCAGCTTTGGAATTTACTAAGCTTTGGCAGCCATTTTCTCTCTAATTTTACCTCTTAAACCAGGCGACCCCCTCTTTGTTCAATCCAAAATGTCTCATCTTCTATTGAATTGAAGATGGATGGGTAATTTTTTCACTGGAAGTAAGACAAATGAACAAGCTTTAAGATGATACCAATAACTCAATATGCTCTAAAATTGACGAGAACCTGATTCCACCGCGCTGCGTCACATTTTTTTTGGGAGTGAGGTCTGCACCGAAGCCAGGGTTAGCTGTCTGACTTTTGAGGTTATCACCCAGAGCTTGCACTTTTACTTTAGAAAGAAGTATTTTTTTGAGTTCATTTTTGCACTCTGCACAACAGGTGTAATGTAGAAGATTTTAGAAACCTTTCTAAGCCCAGTTCCTGTTGTATTTTTTCCACTTTGTTAAGGTTGTTGTTTTCTGTTTGACTTCCTCCTTTACCACAAGTCTTTTGGGTGATTGGCGGGTGCTCTGGTGTGGTTTGCTCCTTTTTTCCTGTCAAACATCTATCTTCCTTATCTCTCCTCCTTTTTTGTGTATGCTACTGTCCTCCTTTTTTGTGTATGTTACTCTCTTGTAACAAATCCTTTCTTCGGCACTTATATGACCTTATTGTGTTGCGAGCGCCGTAAAACCTCTACTAAAACTAAAACTAAGACTCAGTTTTTTCGCTTGCTCTCACTCCTTAGATTGTGTGTGCACGGGTTTGACTGTTCTTGATGGAGTTCTTTGTTTTGTTCTCTGGTGGTCTTCATCTTCTTCTTTTCCCTGCTTTTCCCCTTTTGTCTTGTGGCATTCTTTTCCTTTGATGGTGGCGAGCGATGCTGTAAACTGATTATTTTTAGACCCACGAGGCTTTGAATAAAATTTTGTGTGTCGAGGATTTTTGTGTGTTGGATTTATGCCAAAAGCTTGATGGGCCATGATTTAAACAATATTTTTTTGCCATCTCCCAATGCTTCCATCTAATGGTTCACTTCAGTTCATTAAAATTTTTTGTTTTTTTGCTGTGCACATTATAGTTCACTGTACTAACTCTTGCAAATAATGTCTGTTACAGAAACTATTGCAAATAATGTCTGTTACAGAAACTATTGCAAATAATGTCTGTTACAGAAACTATTGCACATAATGTCTGTTACAGAAACTATTGCAAATAATGTCTGTTACAGAAACTATTGCAAATAATGTCTGTTACAGAAACTATTGCAAATAATGTATGTTACAGAAACTATTGCAAATAATGTCAATAATAAAATATTAATTATAACAGACTGCCCCATGGTTATTGCTTAGAAAAAAGTAACTCGGGCGACTAATTTATTCGTAGCTGCTCCTAACATGTCTAATTTTGTAGTCTGTTTTACGTCTCTTTTTATTTGAAATATGTGTTTATTATATGTGAGGCAGCGTGGGGAAATCAGGCGATCGTCAAAATAATGAAATCGAAGAAACAGGCATTTTTCTGCCAGTTTGTCATTTTTATTGAATTTTTTTTTTTTTGGCTCAACACCATTTTTCTCCAATTAAGAACATATTTTGTGTGGATTTTACTGAAAAACATTGAGTAAAGGCACAGAAAATGTAAATTTTCAGTTTCCAGTGACTCAGGCTATCGAAGTTACCAAACTTCGGCGGCCATTTTCTAGCCTATTCTACCTCTGAAAACAGGCAACCTCACCTCCTTCAATGGCAAATATCTCAACTTCTATTCAAGATAGAGGGTGTTCTTTTCATCGGAAGCAAGGCAAATGAACAAGCTTTAAGAAGGTATCAATGACTTCACATGCTCAAATATTGACGAGAGCCTGATTCCGCCACACTGCATCACATAATAATATATGTTTATTATATTGTCTTGCTTTTTAAGTAGTCGGTGTTGTATTTTTCTAGTTCGATAAACTTCACTGAAGTAAATCTTCATTTTATACGACTAAAATGAGATTTTGTGTTACGTAAAAAAAGTCTGGGCTTGTTTTTGAATGTGTTGCATTTTTCTTACAGTCTGGATCTCGGGTAAGCTCATGATTCCTGTCTAGTTTGTTTTGTTTTTTTTGTGTGTTGTGTGTGTCTTTTTTTGCCTAGCGTGGCGGGCTTCTGGTGTTTTTATGTGTGCGAATTCGAAGTCGGTGTTTTTTGTGCCGGTTTCCACTTTCAGAGCACTCCGACCTTTGACCTTTTCGAATTGTTGTGCTGCTGACTTTTTCAGGGACATGATAATATGTAATAATAATAATAATAATAATAATAATAATAAATGACATTTATATAGCGCTCAACCCTGATTAAAGTACACAGGCTCTGAGCGCTTTACAATACAGTACAACATACAACAGTAACATAAAACGTTGTGTTCTGACTTAAAGAAAATCACTCCAAATATTCATCTTATTAATTTCAATACAGAAACGACTTCAGCTGACATTTGAATAAATCAAAGGATTTGATCTCTCCTAAAGTACTCGGTAAAGCATTCCAGATCTTGGGGCCTTGGTATTCAAAAGCCCTTTCACCCATTGTTTTAAGTTTCATAGATGTAAAGTGGCCTCCCCCCCCCTCTCCCTCCCCCGGGGCGGGTCTAATGACTGAAGTGTCTTTAGGCCATTCCCAAAGGGGGCATATTTACATGTTCTTATGCTGAGTAGAAGTGTTTTTTGTAAATGGTTTGATTCATCAATGTCATGCTCATAACTGTGCCTGAACTACCACAGGGAACTGCTGCATTTTCTTTCTTTATCCTTACTATCGTAATTTTTCCTCTACTTCTTTTGTATGTTTGTCACACTCTTGTGGCCCGCCATTTCCGGGGTGTCTTGATAGTCGAAGCAGACTTTACTTTGTGCTGTTGAAGCTAGAGAGCTGAGCAGAGTAAGCCTGATTCCCTGTAAAAGGACTTCTCTGTTGACATCCACCCGTTGGTGCTCATATGACCTTATGCAGTTGCGAGCGCCGTAACACCTCTACTGAAATGGGCTTCTTTGTGTGAAGAGTGGTCTACCCCTTTTTTAACCCTATCCGTACACCCTGGGATCATTTTGTACCCCCCCCCCCCCCGGGCTTGTATTCTTCACATTTTAGAATACTTCTAGTATGAAGATCTCTTTGAAACTTTCTGTATTTCTCAAAAAATCATTTTGACTGACTGCTGTTTCTAAGCGTATGGATCGGATTAACAAGTAAATTTCCTCTTTGGAAAGTGATGGCACAGAGTTCCCCACGTCATATGGATACGATAGTAAAACCCAACGAAGGGTAGGGTTAAAAAAAATCCTACCCCTTTCTCTAGAACTTTCCATCCAATCAACTGCCTCTTGTAACATGTGGAGAGAGAGAGAGTACAGATAGTATTGCCTTAGCCCATTTGTGCACTGTTTTGTTTGTTGGCATCACACTTTGCTATGGTGTGGGTGGCTTGGGGTCAAATCTGCCATGGGCCCTTTTGAAAAATTTTTGTATTTAGATGACTTTTAAAGGCTGTCCACGCATCTTCACAGTCTTATGGCTTATGGATGTTATGAATCACTTATATGACCTTATTGTGTTGCAAGTGCAGTAAATCACTTACTAAAACTGAAACAGATGACTTTTAAAGGCTCTCCACCCATCTTCACAGTCTCATGGCGTATGGATGTTCACTTCGGAGGCTTAACCGATAAAGTTACAGCATTGAAAGGGGTCATTATAACCCAGTTTAGAAGGCGTGCTGTACCTTGTTTAACTCTTTGAACCCCATCAGCGTCTGGCGGTAAAAACCCTGTTCCCCATCAGACACTGGGAGCGTCCAGTACTAGTGACAACTGTTTTGTTTTACGCAATGCTAGTTTTTGATGGTTTTTCGGAACTATTCCAGAACCAAGTTTATTAGTAATGACTTAGCTTTTGTTTCTGCTATTTAGAAGTTGGAGGCAGCTTTTGGGGTTATAGTGGTACATAGTGCATCAGGTTTAGGTGCGCGCTCATATGACCTTACGCAGTTGCGAGCGCCGTAAAACCCTATACTACTACTACTAGGTTTAGGTGGCTGTTGAAAAAAACTCAGGGAAGTGGTTGAAAAAACTGAGGGCTTAAAGAGTTGAACTTGTTTCTGTGTTTGGTCTCATGTCTCTGTTGTTGGTTTAGTCTAGAGATGCTTTTGCTTCTCAGTACAATGCCATATGCTGCTTGTTGCAAGTTTTGTTCGGTCGTTAGGTCGCGTGTAGTTTTTGTGTCTGGTCTACCTAGGGAAAAAATACAGGAGCTTTGAAGTGGATTCAGAATATGTGTCACGACGCGGTGGAATCAGGTGCTCATCAATTTTAGCCCATATAGAGTTATTGGTATCATCTTCAAGCTAGTCCATTTGCCTTGCTTTTAATTTTTAAAATATCCATTTATCTTGGATACAAGTCTAGGTATTGGCGATTGAAGGAGATGATTTCAGAGATTAAATTAGCGAGAAAATGACCTCCAAAGTTGAGTATTTCCTTAGCATGAGAGTCCGTGCAAAATGAAAATTTACATTTTTTATGCATTTAATTAATGCTTTTAAGTAAAATCCCCACAGAAATGTGTTCTTTGATCGGCATGAAGGGTGTTGAGCCAAAAAACAAAAAATCGACAAGAATTCCCAAACCTTCAGAAAAATGCCAGTTTCTTCACTTTAAAAAAAATTTTGACGAGCGCCTAATTCCACCTCGCTGCCTCACATATAGCATGGCTTGGTAGTATCCACTTTTTGTCATGGGTGGATTGAGGGTACCACAGGAAACTGCTTTTTTTCTCGCGGTCCCACTGTTTCATAACTTTTAGACAAGAGTTATCTCAATATTTCTTTTCAAGACACACTGAAGCCACTGACTGGTTGGTATGGCTTGCCACACAATAGCCCTGTAGGAGAGTGCTTTGGCTTGACTCTGGTTTAATGAGAATTAGCAATTTAAGTGAATGAGCTGTGCCCGTTGCGGGTGGTTAGCGGGTGCTCTGGTTTGGTTTGCTTCTTCTTTCCTATCAAACATCTATCGTCCTGATCTCTCCTCCTTCTGTATTATGTTTGTTTCTCTCTTGTAACACATGATCTAATCTTCGGCACTTGTATGACCTTATAGTGTTGCAAGTGCCGTAAAACTCTTACTAAAACTAAAACTAACCGTACTTACTACATGTTTTACTCATTGCACGACATTTGGATACGGAAATATTATAATATAACTCTCGGTATTTATTCATTTACAAGATTGCTGTATGTTATGCATGCTGCCCTTGCTTGAATTGTGTCGGAGCAGACATTTTGAAAGAAGAAATGACCCATGTATGTTTTGTATGCAGGCTTGCCAACCTTCCTGAATTTTTCAGGAAATTCCAGAATTGCCATCGTCGAGCGATGTCTCCCCCCCCCAAAAAAATTTTTTTTTTTCTTAGAAAAGGCATAGAAATGCTGAGGATGAAGGAATATGTGTTGTAGCTGTACTGTTACATTCTCGTCTCTCTCTCTCTGTTTCCCCACTGGTTTGTTTGAGCTGTTTTTGTGGTATGGGTGGGGTTTTTTTAGTAGCCTATCACAGAAGTGTGTGTCCGTGGCGCTCAGGAGCAATCAAAATTCCAGAATTCAGTATCTCAAAAGTTGGCAAGCCTGTGTATGTTTTTGCTTGCATGTTTTCAGCAGTTATTTATTTTTTATTATTCAGAGTGAAGAAGGGGTGCTCTCGTGGCTTAGAAGTTAATTTGTTGGCCTCTCATTCAAAGGTTCCCGGGTTTGAATCCAGGTAGCGACCGAAAAAATTTCTTCTCTAAAATTGTCTCCTTTCACCTCCTTTCCTGCTCTCTAGTAATGTTCTGTCGTCTGCTTTCATCTACACTTTCTGCCCCACCCCCTCAACCCCTTTGCCCCCTCCTCTGGGCTCCTGACTCTTTCTGCAGCCTTTCTACTGCTACTCCTTGGCTCCTTCTTACTGCTGTCTTTCTGCCACACCCCTGATCTTCTGGTAGGAAAGATCTACACCTAGCCTTCTCGGACAAGGGTGAAAAATCTCGGAGGGCCCGTGTGCAAGTTGCGCACGTTAAAGATCCCTTGGTGGTCTAAAATCCATAAGAGTAGGCTTCGGCCGCCACCCGAGCAAAATTCAAAATTTCCTACAAACTGAAAATGTTTTATCTTTTCAGCGCGCTCATATGACCGTATGCAGTTGTTTAAAAATAAAAAAAATAAGAGTGAAGAAGAGACATCAGGAATATTAACTATTTGTTCATGGATTTGATCTCAAACCAGGTTCTGTAAAGACTTCTTTTTAATGAACTGCCTGAGAGCATAGATTTGATTTCTACTCTTTATAGTTTTTAGTTTTTTTGCTTTTTTTTCTTGTATTTTTGCCCCCATTTTTGTTGCTATTGTTGCTTGATTTGTTTTGACCACATAATCTACTCCCTGTCAAGATCGGAATAATTCCTTTGTACTCAACAGGTTTATTTTATTTTAAATGTGTGCCTGTTTGTTGTTTTGCTTATGAGACACTTTCCACAGTTTCTGTGTCTCTGGAGTTAATAACATTTTCAGTTTTTAGTTTTGTGATTGTAATTTTTTCAATTCCCCCGGCCCCCCCCCCCCCAATGTGCAGTGCTACTGACTGAAGTGTCTTTAAGCCATTTCAAAAGGGGGCATATTAACATGTTCCTATGTTCAGTAGAATTGTAAATGGGCTGATTTATCAATGTTATGCTCATACTGTGTCCGAACAACATAGGGGGAACTGCTGCTTTTTCTTTCCTCATCCTTACTAACCTCATTTTTTCCTCTTCTTTTTTTGTATGTTTGTCACTCTCTTGTGGACTGCTATTTCCGGGGTGCCTTGATAGTCGAAGCAGACTTTGTGCTGTTGAGGCTAGAAAGGTGAGCAGAGTAAGCCTGATTCCCCATTTGGACTTCTCTGTTGACATCCACCCCTTGGCGCTCATATGACCTTATGCAGTTGCGAGCGCTGTAACAACTTACTAAAAAAATTAAAAATTAACAAAAAAATCTTTTCAAGTGAGACCTAATCTATTAATGCTAATGATTTTTTTTGGTGGATTTTTCTTTTTACTTGCAGGGTTTTATGGAAAAGGCCAAGCTGTCTGTGCACAATTTAGTTCAGAGGGTCGGCTTCTTTGGGATTCTGGCATGTGCTTCGGTAAGTCATGTTTGTTTTGTTCTCTGTTCTCTGGTCTACGGTGTCTGTTGGACTGCAATGCAGGGTTCCTGCGGCCTCTTTGAATTCAAGAAGTCCTTGAAAACTCCTTGAATTTACATTCAAGGAAAATTCTCCTTGAAAACTCCTTGAATTTCGGCGGATCGGACATGAACATATTTTTTGTCAGACAATCGAAACTATGATTCCTTTCGGACAAGAGTAAGCCTATCAGAAATAGCTTTCTGGGTGCGAGTGTGCTGTCGGAAACTGCATGAATTTCTTGACCAAATATCCTTGAATGTTGTAAAATTTCTCCTTGAAATCTCCTTGGATTTGGTGGGTGTGTTCGTTGCAGGAACCTTGGCAATGATTTGTACAAGGGCAACGTTCTTGGGACGTTTTGCCAGGTTTAGGAATTTTTTATTGGCCATGGGTGGTTGAAAGGCACCTTTGTGTTGTCTCCTGTTTAGCGTTGAAATGGGCGGCACAGGATTCGTACGGGTCTTGGAAGGCTGGAAAACTCTTGGAATTTTGTTTTTATTTTGTTTTTATTTTCTAAGACTTGGAAACACTTGGAATTTTGTTTTTATTTCCCAAGACACGGGAAAACTCTTGGAAATTTGGAAAATTCTTGGAAAAATCTTGGACAAATTAAAAAAACCAACTAGACATCTAGATCTAGATCTACTGTGAAAATATTTCCCCGAAGTTCAGAAGGCCTCGACCGTACGTGTTTTGAAGTGTACCACAATGTATTTTTGCATGCTGGATGAAAAGTTTTCTTCTGGAGTGACATGTTATTTGTCTTAGGGATAAAAAGAAATCTTGTCTTGAAAACTCTTGGAAAAGTCTTGGACAAAAAAATCTCCACCTCAGTATGAACCCTGGCAGCAGCATACCCTTACAGCTCTGTGGTTTTCATCATTTTCCTATCGAACATCTATTGACACCCTTACAGCTCTGTGGTTTCATAAAGTTTTCTTCGAACGTTGATGCCAGTATGACTCGAGCTGACAAGTTTTTCATGGTCGGTTAAAAAAGTAAATTTGTTGAGTGGGTGGTTGGCAGGTGCTCTGGTGTGGTTTGCATCTTCTTTCCTATCAAACATCTGTCTTTATCTCCCCTCCTTCTTTCTTGTGTTTGTTACTCTCTTGTAACACCTCTTATCTTCTGGCGCTCAAATTACCTTGTGCAGTTGCGAGGGCCAAAAAACCTCTACTAAACTAAATTCTTTCTTGTGTTTGTTACTCCCTTGTAACACATCTATTCTTCGGCACTTATATGACCTTATTGAGTTGCAAGCGCCGTAAAACACTTCCTAAAACGATGTTGCAGATTCCCAACCCGTTGTTTGACCTGGCGGGGATCACGTGCGGCCACTTCCTCATTCCTTTCTGGACATTTTTTGGGGCCACCCTCATCGGCAAAGCCATCATTAAAATGCATATACAGGTAAGTCATAATAATTATAATAAATAGCCTTTGTACAGGGCATGCCCCAGCTCAACAGTAAGCACTATGCGCTTTACACTATATTATTACGCCAGCAGACCGTAGAACACTCCGAAACATTCTCAGCTTCCCGGGAAGCATACAGTGCAAACATGTTTAATACCCCCTCCCGGGGCGGTTCTACTTACTTAAGTGTCTTTAGGCCATTCCCAAAGGGGGGCACATTAACATATCGATTTTTTATGCACAGTAGAATTGTAACTGTAAATGGGCTGATTCATCAATGTCATGCTCATAACTGTGCCTGAACTGCTACAAGGAACTGCGGTTTTTTCTTTCCTAATCCTTACTATCGTCATTTTTTCCTCTACTTCTTCTGTATGTTTGTCACACTCTTGTGACCTGCTATTTCCGGGGTGCCTTGATAATCGAAGCAGACTTTGTGCTGTTGAAGCTAGAGAGGTGAGCAGAGTAAGTCTGATTCCCTGTAAGGACTTCTCTGTTGACATCCACCCCTTGGCGCTCATATGACCTTATGCAGTTGCGAGCGCCGTAAAACCTCTACTAAAAACATCTATCATGTTTGTCTATCCTCCGTTTTTGTGCTCTCTTGTAGCACCTCTAATCTTCATCACTTATATGACCGTAATGTGTTGCAAGGGCCGTAAAACGTTAGCTAAAACGAAATATTCCGGGGTGAAATATGATAAGAATCTCTTTACCCACTGTAAGGTATACCTTTGCAACAACTTACTGACTGGCTGTCATTGTTTGCTCAACATCATTTTTTTTTCTTTTTTCAGTCTATCCCCAACAAAATACTTGTTGGCTTTTCTTTTTTTTTTTTTTTTTTGGTGAAACATTTTTTCTTTCCTATCAAACTCGAACATCTATCGTCCTTATCTCTCCTCCTTCTTTTTTGTGTATGTTACTCTCTTGTAACACATCTATTTTTCGGCACTTATATGACCTTATTGTGTTGCAAGCGCCGTAACACCTCTACTAAAACTAAACTAAAACATTTTTTTTGGTCTAAAATTTTCCCTTCCTCCTTACAGCTTTTGATCTTCGTGCTCTGTTGTCATAACCTTGATATTCATTAACTTTTTTTTTTCTTATTGTATTGCAAGTGCCGTAAAACTGACTAAAACTAACTTTTTAAAAAATGTTTTTTTTCCAGAAACTGTTTGTGATATTCATGTTCAGCGCCCACCATGTGGAGCAAGTTGTCAAACTCATAGGGTGAGTGAGATTTGTGTAGTGCGTCTGTTCACTTACTGTACTGTACACTTTGCCATCATATTTGGGGGAAATCCAAAGAAACTGTGTGGTAAACATCGGCAATCGGCGAGACGAGGCGGCAAAGTGTTAACAGTTTGTGTGTTCTCAAGGAAAACAGGATGGTGCTAGAAAAAAAAAAAGATTCTCAACTATTGTGAGTGTCAGTTCTATGAGTGTTATATAATATATATATGTATATATATAGATATATATATATATATATATATATATATATATATATCTGTCTATATATATATATATATATATATATATATATATATTTATATATATATATATTAATATCAATGGAAAGGTCATTAAATGAACTTGTGAGTTGAGATAATAATCCTGTACTGTACATATATTATTTTATTATGCATGTTATAACCTACTAATTGTATATATCTGTAAACAGGAAAAAAATAGCTTTTTCCGTACCTTCACATAATATGTAAAGCAGGAAAACTAGTTTTGTCTACTGTAAAACTAAGTTATTAGTGTTGGAATTTGCCCTGCGCTTGAAAGGTGTTAGCTTGATTCGTATGTGGGGAGTTCCTTTGTCTGTCTGCATGTAGTGTCTGGTTCAGCTTGGGTTGACCCTGACGGTGGGTGGTTGGTGGGTGATCTGGAGTGGTTTGCTCCTTCTTTCCTATCAAACATCTGTCGTCGTTGTCTCCCCTCCTTCTATTTTGTGTTTGTTACTCTCTTGTAACGCATAATCTATTCTTTGGCACTTGTGTGACTTTATTGTGTTGCAAGCGCCGTAAAACCTCTACTAAAATGAAAAAATTATCTCCTGTCCTCCTTTTTTGTGTATAATGTTACTCTCTTGTAACACATAATCTATTCTTTGGCACTTATATGACCTTTGATTGTGTTGCAAGTGCCGTAAAACTCGTACTAAAACTAAAAACTAAAACTCTTACTTTAAAAAAAACAGCATTTATAAATTTTTTTTTGGTTTAAATCTGCATTTCTGTAGGCACATCCCTTACCTGGGTGGGCCAGCTCAGAAACCATTCCAAGATTACATGGAGAAGCAGAGGATGAAACTGCACCACAAGCCTGGGGTCGGGGGACAGGACGACGGGGTAAGTGGACGCGACAAACAATGAGCGTAGAGTAGAAGAATCCTGTTTTGTTTTGACTTCTTGTCTTTTAAAGAGCCTCAAACTGTTTTGTGTTTCACAGAGTGTTTTAAAAAAATTAAGACAGTTTTTAATATTATCGTCATCATCATTATTATTATTATTATTATTGTTATTATTACTATTATGACCATTATCATTATTTTTATTGTTATTATTATTACTATTTTTATTACCATTAGTGTTATTATTATTATTATTACTATTATTATGGCCATTGTCATTATTAATTTTGTTATTATTATTACT